TACAAACCGCCCTACATCCCATTCTTATTCCTGCTCCTTGGATATTGCCTGTCCCAGACAAAAAAAGCACTCCTCCAGTGGGGGAAGCTGTCTCTTGAAGGGCTGGGCTGGTCTCACCACTAAGCTTCCACACTTCCAAGGTCTCCAGGTGGCGGAGGTCCTGAGACAGGAGCATGCAGTGTGGTCTTAAAGACAGGAGATGTTTAACACTTATTGGCCTCCTGCTGCACGGGACCAGCTGCTCTACTGGGACAAGGATATTTCCAGCAAAATATTTCTATGCACTGGGATCTCTGGACTCTAACAGCTTCCATTAAGTAAGTACCGCTGTCCTCCATCCCTTGCAGGCTCTTCCTATTTCTCTGCTGCTCTTTCTCCAGTTGTTTTGCAATCCCCCATGCCAAGGACTGCAAACATGTTTTAGACACCATTTCCCAACTCCATGTCAATAGCTCCAGGTGACATATGCAATGCAAGTAAAAGCTTGCTGACTGTTGACACAATGATATCTTGTTGATACAAGAAAGGAAAAAAAAACAACAGAGGAGGACTATTCAAAGGTTGATTGTGCATTTTTTGGCCATGAGGAACATATTCATTCCCCTCTTTATTCCCCCCCACCGCCCCCCCCCCAAAAAAAAGGGGGGTAAAGGAAAGTAGCTTGGGTCATACCTCCAACAGAGCTGGCACAGCACTACTGAAACGCTGGCATATCTTCAGTCCCTGCCAGGTGAAGTTCTGCCAGCCTATATAAACACGTGTTTACACAAAAGCGCGGATCACCCCATTCTTACAAAAGCCATGAATAACTCCAGAAGTAACTCACAATTGTAAAGAAAATAAAAGGTTCTTATTTTCAGATTCTTTACCAGTTGCACAGAGTATTTGATCAAAAAGTTTTCCTTGCCAACCAACTGGTGACTTTTCTATGGTGCCACTTCAGAACATTTGTTTGGTGATAACAAGCCTTTGTTATTAGCAACTTATCCAAAGCCACAGGTAGGAAGAGATAAACTGTGCAAATAATAAAGGGGTATCACACACTGCCAGTACTGCTAAGGTTATAAAAGGTACATTTCCCCTGAAACAGTCATAAAAAATTGAGGGGTTAACTGAACTAAGATGCTGCTCAAATCAATGAAATTCACTCCAGGACAGAAGACTTAACACTCAGACCACCTTTGAGCCTTAAAAGGGATTTTCTTGATAACACAGGCCAGGAACTGGCTGGCTTGACAGGGAAAGGGAAAGGTGCTTTACAGGCGTGGGGAAGCAGCAGCCTCCAACTGTCTCGTGGATCCAGTCCAAAGACAATATGAACAGCTTGTTGATTGTGGCTAGCTTCAGAGCAGGCCTCTAATGTATGGGCTTTGGGAAGCTGATGTGCCTGTAGGGAGAACAAATCCTTCCTGGGTTGGTCATGGGATCTTCCCTCTGCAAATCTCATCTGTCAACTGAGTAACACAGGCTGCCAGGGTGATGCTTTAAATGAAGCCACATCCATCCCTCCCCAGACCAATATTTTCTCTGATATTCTGGAGATGGTGATGTTTACAGACTACAAGTCACTGATGGCATCGGTCTGTATTAAACATCCAACACTAGGCAGATGAAACAATAAAGACATAAGCCACTCTAGAAAACAGCTCATGTATTTTTTTCACTTGCTGCAAAAGGACTTCTGTCATCTCATAGACATTTCTAGATGGCAACAAGCTTTTTACATTTTCCCTGGTGCATCACATGCCACATGCTGGTCACAGTTTTACAGTTGTTGCTATCAAGTTCAAGAAACAGATATTTTATTGACCATTTTGTCTTGACACACAGTACTAACTCACCAATGCAGTTATCACTCAGTTCAGGGCTTGTTATAACAAAGTATTCTTCAAAGTAAGAAAGCACATGCTTTTGCTGGCCTATGCCCAGATACATGCAAATTTATGCAAACACATGCAAATACATGTCTGCTTTTTTTGTCAGCGGATGTTGGCAGGTTTGTAGATATGATGTAGTGAGAAGCAATAGCAAAACAGAAGAGAGGAGGGCTGAGAAAGTCGAGAAGATCTCTGCATTTCTTAAGAGCTTTTGTTCAAGTCTGCTAAACAGTTGTTTAAACAGTCCAGGTCTGTGAGACTGACAAGTGCTTTAGAAAACCCCATCCCATTGAGTTAGTCCAGTGGGTAATCAAGGAAGTTACAGCAGTGATTTAAGACAGCTGCCCTTCTTCTTATTGCTCAGTCCTGTTAGAAAAAATAACTTGTGCAACATTGAGAAGTCAGTGAACTATAATTCAGAACGTGTACTGAAGATGAGACGCGCTCTGTGAAAGGGTTGTCAAAACATGGCTTTCACTCCCTTCAGGCATCTACCTTCAATCCTATTGACCAGCAGAGACACTGTTGCCAGTTGATTGCACAGCAATTCACAAATCATTTCACAGAAAGAATAAGAATATGTTAAAACGCCCCCTTAGATAAGAATGGGAATAGGAGAACACTTACCACGTTG